TCTGCCACAAGAAGGCAGAGTTTCCTAGTTTAATTATTTCATGCTTATACATGGCATAACATACATGTGTTGCATGTGTCAAACACACACACACACCATATATTTCAACACTGTGTTAATGTTGTGAACCATATGCATTCATGCTCAAAGCTTTGTATGTTTTCCTTATCATTATTATCATCAGTTGATAATCATTATACCTTTATTAGCATGATCAATGTTACCACTGTGAGTGTTTATTCCATTCTTAGTGCAAGCCAGCCTTGGTGCTAAGTACTCTACTTGCATTACTTCTTTTAATTGTCAAGTGCTATGAGGTAGATACTGCTGTTTCATGACTTTATAGATATGAACACTGAAGTTCAAATAGGTTTAGGTAACTTGTGTCTGACTCCAGAATTGGTATTTTTAGCCACTATAATATTACACCCCCTGTATTAGCTTCCTAGAGAAGACACACACGATCACACAACAACAGAAATTTATCTTCTCATAGAGCAGGAGACCAGAAGTCCAAAATCAAGGCATTGGCAGACTTGGTTCCTTCCAGGCGCTCTGAGGAAGAATCCGTTCTGGATCTCTCTTACTTTCTAGAGGATGCCGTCAATCCTTGGCTTCTTTGGTTTGTAAACACATCACTCTCATCTGCTGGCATCTACACACCAACTTCTTTGAGTGGCTCTTTTGTGTTTTTCCTCGTTACAGGATATCAGTCATTGGATTTAGGGCCCATGCTAAACTAGCATGATTTCATTCAATCTTTACCTTGATTATAGTTATAAAGACCATATTTCAGAAGAAGTTACATTCTGAGGTTTTGGGTAGGTATGAATTTTTTTGGAGGGGGAAACTATTCAAGCCATGATGGACTATTGTATTGCATTCACCCGAAGAACTCCTATGTAACTATGGAACTTCATTTCTACTTCCATATTTGTGGACATTGAAGTTGGAGAGGGCCACAGTTTGCACATAGGTCCATCTGTGTGAATTTTACAAAGACACCTCTCTCTGGATTGACCAAGTTTCCTGGCTTGGTGAGCTGAGCAGGGGCTGGATTTAAACCCCCATTTACCCTTTTGCCAGTCACCTCTTTGTAAGGCACAGCTTGCCCACTGGATGTAGAGGCCAGAACTCAGAGAGAATGTAACCTGGGGAGGGCTTGCTAATGCTTTAGAATATTTAAGGAGTTTTTCTTTTCTGGTCCAGAGTAGGAAAACCACAATATATGAATGTGAAGAGTCTCTAGAGATGTTTTTCTCTAGATGTCTCACACAGTAGAAAATGCAATTATAATATTCTATATTAATGTGCTGCTTATTGATTTATAAGCTAAAGCTGAAATCTGTTATTTTTCAGTCTTAGGACCAGAGATCAGTAACTTTAACCAACCTTGTGATAAACTAGCACAAGATCCCCATCTTTTGACTTTCCTTATACTCTTGATTACATTGTGCTAACTCAAGTAGAGCCCTGTGTCCTATTTCACTTCTGGGTATGACATCATCCTTATTTAAAAATGTTTATTATCAGGGACATATTTACCCTTTCATGTTTGTATTTGAACTTCTTTTGAAACTAACTAAGGCTTCCTTCCTCTCTTTTGAACTTTGCTTTGAATCTTTGACCAATAAAATAAATTATAAGTACAACATTTTAAATTAAAATGATCCAATCTCTCCATATTTTTATAAATATTCTGCTATCATAGTACTTTAGTTGCTGTACAGCGGAGGAAAAGCATAACATCGTCTTTTCTTGCCATTCAAATAACTTTTTTGAATACTTTTGTAGTTTGCAGGGAAAAAGTTCAATTGATTTTCAAGGTTCTAAAGTGGATGAAATAAATAGGAAATGAAGCCTGTAGTCTAGTTAGTGGACCAAAATTGTTAGCATTTGCTTTCCTCACAGTAACCAGTGTGGATAATTGGAATTTCCCTGGTGGTAGCAAACACATGAGATTCTATGTCCCAAGGGCTTTCACACAATACCAATTATATCCTTAGCCCCCAATAAGTTCATGTTTGTTGAATGAACCATATAACTGCCATGGTCATTGTTGGTATCCATTCTGCTCTGGCCAACCTGACTCTCTACCCATTCTCTGCATACAGCCTTTCACATCTGCAGTCTTTGCAGGCATTATTTCCTCCCTAGGAATGTGTCTTCTCTAGCAGGGCCTTTGTCAAGTTTCTACCTTTCCTTAAAGACCTGCTCAAATGTCACATCCTTTCTGAAGCACTTCTCAAGAACAAAATGATACCTCATTCATCTTTATGTTTCCAATGTCTACCTCAACTAAATTTGTCTTGAGTGAGGAAGTGAAGAAAGAGGAGGGACAGAGCCAGTATCTTGTGGTGGACAAGAGCTTCTCCACAGTCTGACAAATCTGGATTGATAGTCCTGTTTCTTGACCTATGACTGTGTGAACTTGGTCAGTTCACTTCATCCCTCTGAGGCTTAGTTTCCCCAGTTGTAAAATGAGCATAATGGTAGTATCTGACTTAAAGGCTCTTGTGAGAATAAAATGAGATCCTTCACCTAATAAGCGCTAAATATTCAGTATGAAGAGAATTGTTCCGTAGGTTTCCTTGCATTGCAGTGGAGAGTGTGCAGTGTGGGTAAAACTGGCTGACTTCAGCGTGATCAGATCAGTTGGTTGGGAATATGAGACTACTGTGGCCATTATCACATTTTCCTTCTGAACTAAGTAGGGTAAAACTTCCAAATAACAAAGCCCACTTATACTGTAAGGATTTTCTTCAATTCAAAAACTAGCAAGTAACTTCAAAGAGATGAGCTTAGATTCGCTTCAGCTTAAACTTCCACACTTTTGCATAGTGACAAGTAGGCATCTCAGGGATGAATTCAGCCTACAGACAGGTGATTTAGTCACATATTGTATTAAAAAAATTGAAATGGATACCAACATGAAGGAAAAAGCTATTTGGAAAATTTCAAGTATACACTGATTTAGAGTGACTAGTGCAGTGATTCTCCATGTAACGATCATTCAGTAATACTCAAACATTCCACTTCATCCTTCCTTCCCCTCTTGCTTGTTTTGCTAGAGTATTTTAAGGCAAATACTGGATATTATGCATTTCATTCATGAATATTTCAGTGTATATCAGATAAAGACTTCCTTTGTAAGAAAAGTATAACCATAAATAATTATCACAACCAAAAATATTAAAAATATTTCTTAAAATGTTCTAATACCTGGTTTGTGTTCAGTTTTTCCTGATTATATCAATAAAGTTTTTTTGTGGTCTGGGGTTTGAACTCAGGGCTTTGCACTTGCTAGGCAACCACTTTACCACTTGAGTCATACCAACAGCCCTTTTTGCTTTCATTTATTTTTTAGATAGGGTCCTCTTGCATATCTGAGAAAACAGATGTATGCCACTGTTCCCAGCTTATTGGTTGAGATGGGGTCTTGCTAACTTTTTGCTAGGGCTGGCCTCAAACCATGATCCTATTGACCTCTGCCTCCCTAGTAGCTAGGATTACAAGTGTGAGCCACTGCACCTGGCAGTCTTTTTTTTTTTTTTTTTACAGAATCCAAATACTATACATAATCTGTGTTGTTTGATTATGTGTATTAAGTTTTTAAACATGTAGTAATTCTGCTTTTGTTTCAATTTCCATGCCATTTGCTTCTTGAAGAATTTTAAAGGCCACACACACATACACCAGATATGGATTTGTGACTCCTTTGGAAAAAATTAGAAGAATTGGCAATCTTCCAATTATACTCCCCCAAGGCAATAGTTTACTGGAGCTGCGTGGGGGTCTGCAGCTCCTGCAAGTGTCTACAGTTCCTCACAGTCCATACCAGTCCCTATTGTATATCAACCAGAGTAACTCATTTATGTTGCTTGCCAATCCTGGTAGGCTTTGAGCTGACCACCTGAGATTTACCTCTGTCATAGGCAGTTAGAACTGAATCCTGTAAGTGGGTCTTAAATCCCTAAAACATTCTTAGTCGTTAAGTAAGTGTTTAGTTTTGTGCACTATGCTACTCAACTAGGAATGTAAGCTAAAATGCTTAAAAATTTATAGTACTGAGTCAACAAAACTCTTAAAAATCCTAAATTAGCTTCACACTTCATGAACTGGCATCACTCTTTCCTTAAGCATTCCAGTTAATCTGCTTTCAAACATCTTTTTCATCTGTGTGGAGGTTTGATTCTTTAAAGGCCACCAGACAAGGTGCTATAAGACAAGGACTTGAGTCCTCATCTTCAATGACAAGTGAATCATCCTTTTGCTTCTCTGAGTCACCTATGCAGATGGAGGTAAAACAGCCAGCCTATTAGTGTTACGAAGTTCAAATGAAGTGACAATTTGTAAAGCATATGGCTCTATAACTTAAAGTGTTACTGCACATAAGGGCAAATAGAATTACGCAGAACATTCTCCACATCTCCATACACTTGTTCTTCTCTGCCCACCCCGAATGCCCTTAGGAATGAATTGCTAGTCATCTGTGGTCTCCAAACACTTTCTGCCTATTCTTTTCTACCACTTGTCACATCATATTAAGGCCATTTGTTCCCTTCTCTGTCTTCTGTGACAGTCTATGAGTGAACCTCCATTTATTCTGTGCTGAGCATATAGCTGACCCTCAGTAAATATCTATTGAATTGGATCAGATTGATATGAATAATTACTACTTTTGTGCCTGTCTTGAAGGATAAAGTCTAAATATATATAATTTTTTAGGTATATCATCTGGTAATTGACCAATCTTGGCATTGTTATGATGAAAATATGTAATATTCATGAAAATGGAGTTCTGTATTTTAATTTAATGATCAGATTTCTTGAGTACATGATTTGTAATTTTAGGTCATAGATGATGAAAGAATCTAAATGTAGAATACCTAGCATTCAAACTGTTTTTTCCTGCTGGAGAAAACTTAAGCAGTCAATCTTCACTTATGGCCTAGGTCTTTGGTTCTCTTATTAAGTTAGGACTTCTTGCTCTTTTCTAGCTGGTTTGCCATCCATCCAGTCAGCATGAACAACAGTAACCACCTTGTAAATAGTGACAATATGGGCTATGCATCCTACCTGTTTGAGCAAGAGAAGAACAGAGGATACCTACCTGGACAGGTGAAAATTCATGCCATTAGATGCTTCATCCTGATTCACTGAGTGTTATCATTCATGCACTAGTTAGGATAACTGTTTCGAATTTCTAGAATAAAGTGTCATGAATATGCTTGGATAGAAAGAATTCTCCATTCTCCCAAACAGGAAAAGAAAAATTTAAATGAGTAATGATCTGTTTGTTCTTTGCAATAGATACTATGTTTATTGATGACTTCATAAAGTATATATGATCAGTTGCATAAGGAAGAGGAAGTTTGAGATTTTTGTAATACGTAATAGTTTTTGATTATGCCATAAATATGATAAATTATATTGATATTTGTTTTCAGAGATAAAAAAGTACTAAGAGCTTTGAAAGTATAAGAGCTTCGAATGAGGACAGATAGGAAGTCCTTTACACTGGACCAGACTTGCCTCTTAATGATGAAATCCCTTCCAAGGACCTTTTTCTATTTGTTTTGCAATAAAACTTAAGTCAGTGACAACTCTAATCCATGAGATTTGTTCTGTAGCTTTGAAGCTCACCTAATGACAGCAGACATGCAGGGTGGGTATGGGGGGAGCAGGAAGTCAGTCCTTACACTGTAGAAAGCTCTCCAACCATGGATAAATTTGTGACTACTGATAGATAAGTGGCAAGAAGGAGCCTGCTTTGCCTGGCCACTGCCTGTGAGCACCAAATGCAGAATATAGGCTGGAATGAGACCCAGCGCATTGGTGAGAATGAATGTTCTGTTATAAATATGGTAGCCCCATTAACATTCAGTCTGATGTTTTGGCTCCTTTGTTGGCAAGTCTGTGCTTTCTCCTTTAGTCTGCATTTTTGGGAAAAGAAAAAAAGTTCTTATTTATGCTCACTGTCTGTGTGGAATTATAGACCATTTGGGTCAAGGCTGATGCCTGCCTTGGTTCTAATCAGGTTGAAGAGAAAGAGACAAGATACACAGAGGGCAGGTCCACATGGCAGGTGGGAGTTTTGCAACAAGACAGCCTGAATTTGTTCTGTTCTTTTTAAGCCAATAGGACATTTATTTTTAATGGGCAAATGGATCTCTGGGCTCCAGATAAAATCCCAGAGACTAAATTGATGGGTTAGCACTTTATAATTTGTTGTTATACACTGTGTTTCTGGTCAAATGTTTCTGTTTGAAGCATTCATGTGAAACACTCCTCCTTGAAATGATTTTGTTGATAATTGGAATATTTTCAGTGATAATGTGTATGCTGACTGCAATGTGAGCCTTTTCAAAAACAGAAAATGTTCTCAGAATATGTACAACCTCCTTTTATTGTCTGGAAATGATTACAAATCGTTTGCCGAATGGATTCAATGTTTGCATTTCTAATGGGCGTCATTACAGGAAATAAGAAGGAATAAAAGGTAATGGTGCATTTCTTTTGGCAGGGACCATTTGTAGCAGCCTTTTCTTCATCAAACCTAGGAGATGTGTCCCCCAACGTTTTTGGACCACGCTGCATCAACACGGGCGATTCTTGTGAAAATGCCTATAGCACTTGTCCCATTGGTGGGGTAGGTAATTACGACATGATACATCTTTGTTTTGCATTCCCCGTGTGCTTCATGTTCAATGACATGCATCATGAAGTTGCAAATATGTTGTCCTTGAGTATATACTGGCCAATTTACCTCTAGAATCTGCTTTGCTCTTTTAAAACACCGCCCAAACTCTCCACATTTTGAGTAGCTGAAGTTACAGCTTTCTATTTTATTAATTGGAAAGTTCAATGCAGAAATTAAGGATCCTTTCCCAAACCTAGGGAGTTTAAAACATTTTGCCTCGGCATAGCTGAAGTTTCAAGTTAGTACCAAAAACTTCTTGCTGGGACATTTCTCACTGATTATAAGTCTATTGTGTTTTAAAAATATATAACATCAAAATTTATTTTTCTCTTAAAATTACAATAAAATTGCTATAAAATTCAAATAACAGGGATGCACAGAGTATTAAAATTAAAAGCCCTCATTCACCTTCTTCCCCTCTACCTTCTGGCCTTCTCAGAAGTTATTATTCTCATACCTGTTCCTATGTATTTATCTGTGAGTTCATATACAAAAATTTATGACCTATTCGTGGATTTTAAGACTTTAGTTTGCTACATAATTTGCCTTAGAAATCTTTTCATGTGTGTATCCACATCGATGTGGCAATTTTGAAAGACATGCACCATCATTTATTTAGCTGCTTACTTGTAAAATTCATTTAGATATGTTTTTCAACTTTGACTTGAGCAAGAAATGCTAGTTTCTGGGTTCTTATTTGTTGTGTATTCCACTGGTAATGTTACTTTCTTTTTAAAAATTTTTATCTTTTTTATTGTTGTGCCGGGTGGGGGTACATTGTGGCATTTATAAAAGGTTCTCACAATATATCAGATATATCATACTTGAATTTACCCCTCCACTGTTCTCCTTCATCAGCTACTCCTGGAGAAGTTTCAACAGATACCATTTTTCCATTTATGTACATGTACACATCACATGGTGATGTTATTTTTTTTTTGGTGGTACTGGAGTCTGAACTTAGGGCCTCATACTTGCTAGGTGATTTTACTTTTGTTACACACTAATTCTGGGCTCTTTACTCTGTTCTAGTCAATCCCACCCAATCAGCAATATGGTTTCAATAATTGTATTATATATTAGTATTTCTATATAGAAACTCTTCCTTTGTCACTCTTCATTTGTAGTATTTTCACACATTATTAATTTGCATTAAGTCTTAAGGTTAGTTATTAAATTCCAAAATATATAGGTGAGATGGTTAAAGAAATTATTCTTACTTGTAATAGAGTGTTATGCATCAATTTAATGCCTTACATTGGAATATTGAATACTGTGGGGGAAAAACTCATAATGTAGTGTTGAGTAAGAAAAGCAAGATTGATATTGCACATTCATTACAATTACAGCTTTTCAAAACGTGTTATAGTAAGAAGTGAAACATCCAGAATTGTTAATATTCATTTTTCTTTTGGGGCCTATTCTTGGTGGGTTTCATTCTTACATTTATGCATTTTTATACTTTTCTACAATGAGCAGACTTTACTTTTATAATCAAAAGAAAATTACAAGAAGATTCGCAGGTTGAATTGGCTTCCCTCACACCATGAACAATTTTCTAGAAGGCCTTTATCTGTCATCACGTGTACATGTACACTTTCACACACCTGAGATCACAGTGTAATCCTATTCTCTGACCTGCTTCCTTACTTCCAATAAATATGCTCTAAATTGTTAGTTTTGAGTACCATAATTTAGTTAACTCATCCTCTACTGATGAGTATCTTACTTTCTTCCTTCCTTGTGCTTGAGCACTCTACAACTTGAGCCATGCCCTCAGCCCTTTTGGCTTTAGTTATTTTTCAAATAGGTTGCAAATAGGGTTGCAAACTTTTTGTTCAAACTGGCCTCCAACTGTGATCCTCCTGCCTATGCTTCCTGTGCAGCTGGGATTACAGATATGTGCCACCACACCCAGCTTGTGTTTTGAGATAGGATCTTGCTAACTCTTTTTGCCTAGGTTGGCTTCAAACTGTGATCCTCCTGTTTCCACCTCCCAGGTAGCTGTGATTACAGGTGTGAATCACTGCATCTGACTTTTTAAAAATTGAGACCTAGTGTTTGTACATCTTTAAGGGGTACATTATAATATTTTGATGGATGTATACGATGTATAATGATCAAACAGGGTAATAAGCACTTCAACTCCTCAAACATCAATAACTTTGTATGTTGGGAACTTCATACTCTTGCAATTATTTTGAAATATATCACAGATTATCGTAACCAATGGTTACCCTACTGTGCTATGGAAAACCAGAACTAATTCTTCCTATCTAAACCATGTTTTGGTGTCCTTTACCTGCCTCTCTCAGACTTTGGTGAGCAATATTCCACCCCATTCTTCTATGAGATCAATGTTTTAGTTTCCACCGATGAGTGGGAACATGTCTTTGAGTGCCTGGCTCATTTCACTTAACGTAGTGACCTTCCAGTTCTATCATGTTGCTGTAATGATAGGATTTCATTCTTTTTAAATCACCAAATAATACTCCGTTGTGTGGTTACCACATTTTTCTTATTCAACCATCCACTGATGGCCATTGTGGTTAATTCCATACGTTGGTTATTATGAATAGCAGTGTATGAAACCATTGTAATGAGTTCATCTCTTTTGGATATATGAGGTAATTTTTCCTATTGAATTTTATACATTCCTAATGCATTCAGCCCTTAGTATATCTTTCATAAACAGTGCAAAAATCCACCCCAGTTTATCAGTTGTCTTTCATTAAAATGTTCTCATATTTGTTAAGACTGTTCTTTATTATCTTCAGCAGGGTCTTCCATACCCTAAGACTATAAAATATATTCACCTATATTTCCTTTTAGTATTTTTTTATCCCACTTATAATATTTAAAAGTTTGACCAATCTCAAACTTTTCTGATGTGAGAAAAAAAATATGTAGCCATATTTGTTCATTTTTTCCCCAGAAAGACAGCTAAAATTTTCCAATATAATTTTAACTGAGTTTCAATTTACTAGGATCGTGAGCAAGAGTCATAGGCAAGAATAAGCAACCAGAAAGATGTACAGCAAGTGAAAAGACTTGGTGTCTGGTCTTAGGTCAGATATCAAGTACTTGTCTATTCTGCAAGAATCTTTTAATTCACCTGAACCTCAATTTCCTAATTTTTAAAGTAAGTTAGTAGAACAGAACTTTCCACAAACATTCACTGCCTCAACTCCATGTATGATTTTATTTGTGCTAGTTTGTAAATTGAGAGTTTATGAAAAGAAATTCTAGAATGTGGCTTAGCAACTCTATTTGCTTAGATCCAGTTGAAATTTTCCATTCCTTAAAATAATCCCTCATCTCATTAAGGATGCATCTTGTCTTGTTTTTGTCCCAGCCTAGCATGTGCGTTGCTCAGGGACCTGGAGGAGATATGATTGAAAGCACACAAATTATAGGACGGACCATATACCAGCGAGCAAAGGTAAGCTATGGGCTTTCAGGCTCACTGCACTGTTCATTAAGAAGTGGGTGATTGCAAGGAAGACAGCAAGGGCTCAGGCTATGCTAGGAAGTCTGGAATACTTGGCATGAACCACACAAGAGCTATCTCTGCCTGATTGGATCAGACTTCTTGCAGGAATACATTGAAAACCAAGCAATCAAGAAAACATTCTGTTTTAGATTGTGTAGAAAGGCAAAGTGCTTGCCTGGACAGAAGACTATAGATAGTAAAGTTTTCAGATAATGTGCATCTCATATGACCAGACTGATCCAAATTCTCAGAAGACTCTCAGGTGTTTGTCTGCCCAAAGTCACTTGACCATTTCTGAGCTTGTCCTTGGTGATGGAGCTGAGAGGCACAGCTCTGGCTTAGATTCCAGCAGTTACTCTGCTTCTTTAATAGGACAAAGGCCATTATTTCTTTTTCCTTTTCCTTTCCTTTCCTTCCCTTTCCCTTTTTCCTTCCCTTCTCTTTCTTTTCCTTTCCTTCCCCCTTTCTTTATCCCTCCCTCTCCCTTCTCTCTTTCTTTCTTATCTAAAAGTATACTTTTGCCTGAACCTCTACCTCCTGAATAGCTACGATTATAGATATGTACCACCATGCCTGGCCAATCCTTTCTTTTCTTTTAAGGGGGAATAGGAACATAATGGAGGAAGTGAACTTGTTAAGGTACACTGCACATATTTATGGAAGTGTCACCATGAAATCCCCTCATATTATTAATGCATGATAAACCAAAAATAAAATTATAAAGTTAAAAAAGTGACTTTGAGATGAAGAGAGAATCTGATTTGCAATGAGATTACTATGAATTGTTCTACCTTCTTCCCTTTTCTAAATTTTATCTTCCATTTTGCCCCTATGTGTTATATCAGCTTCTATGGGGACAGATTTCTGAGGAAAAATATAAAGGATGACCTCTGAATGACACATCTCTGATATAGAGAGTTAAATCCTTTCTGTTTTCAGATACCTTTGTCGTGTATGCATGTGTTCAAGTAAATAATTTACTCCCAGAGTTCTAAAATACTTCAGGGGGCAATTAAGGAAGAACAAAAGTGCTTTTAGAAAACATCAAATGCGAAATTGGTAGCAGCAGCCAGCCTCATTGCTGCAGTTTCTTCTTAATTACAGTGAAATTATCAGTGGATTACTCCAAATTAACAGATTCTATTTAGGATATGTGCCTATGGCACACTTTGGTGTTAGAAATGTTGTTATCTTCCTGTGCTTGGAGCTGTGGAGATCTGTCTCACATTCTGGATCCTTTTCTCAGCAAGGCACAACTTCCCTCTTAATCAGGAGAGGCATGCTGCAGCTGACTCCTGCCACTTATCTCCAGAGCTCACATGTCACTGTGGAAAAAAGGATTGGGACAGTGTGGATGTGAGTTGGGTGTCAGGCCAATGTTCCCAAATGCCTTTGATTTCCATTTCCTATAAGATTTGAAAAGCATCCATTGACCGTATATTAAAAAACAAAAACACCAAAGGGAAAATTGCGACTGGGGTTGCTGATAAGTAGGTGGGGCCTAGTGTTTCAGGCAATTTCTTGACACCTTGACTCTGGCCCTGTCAGAGGACCTGAATCCTGAGAGGAAAACTCTGAAAGAATACTATCTGGGATGCATTCTCACTCTGGCAAAGGAAGTGCTTGGCCCACTCCTCCGCATCTTGAATTTTCTTGACCAGCCAGATGTAGTGTTGCAGGAGGGCTCAGACAGAGACTGAGAGGTCACCAAAGCTTTTGGAAAGCAAGTTTATTAAGCAACCTGGCAGCGACTCAGTGGACTCGGGTCCAAAGACTGAGCCCCAAGAGTAAAGGTGGCTTTCGTTATATACCATATAGAGCAGGTTACAGAAATGGGGAGGTGGGAGGAGGGTACAGCTTGGTACCCTCATACATAATCACATGTTATTTCATTGGCTACGGGGGGGTGGGGGCAAGGTGACCCTTCTCTGGTCTCCCAGTAACATTCCCCAACTCTGGTTTTCCTTGGTTTCCCTGTAGCACTCATTAATCTCCCTTCCCCCTCCCTGCCTTCCTGCCCCAGTAGGAATGCACATCTGTAATACCTGCTACTCGACAGAAGGAGATGGGAGGACCACCTCCCAGGCTGGCTTGGGAAAAGTTAGTGAGACCCTCTCTGAGAAACAAACTCAAAGCAAAAGAACTGGGGATGTGACACAAGCAGCAAAGCACCTGCCTACCAAGTGCAAACATTTCTTGGCCTTCTTTCAAGTGAGATTGGGCATTTTTGTCACAGCGTATACCATTAGAATTTGATATTTGTGGGGAGTAGGCACAGGTCAACGGTCCTAAAGCCTTTAAGCTTCGGTGAAGCAACTGGCTTGCCTGAGATAAGCATGAGGGCAGCAACTAAAATCCCACGCAGCCAGCAAAACAGAAGTGTGTTGTTGCTGGGGGATGCTGTGTCCAGTGGGGGCACCGTGGTAGTGCAGGCTATATTCATTCCACTTCATCTGCTTCCTCGGGACAGTAAGCCTGCGTGGGTTTTCTAGGAACTGTATACCTCAGCCTCCCAGGAGGTGACTGGACCTGTGACAGCAGCTCACCAGTGGGTGAATATGACAGATGTGACAATTCAGCTCAACTCCACACACACAGTGAGTACTGCCAGGCCACAGGGGTGACACAGAGCACAGGGGATCACATTATTATTTGCAGCTTAACTTCTGTTTCTTTGTTTCTGTTCTGCTTTTTCACATCTCTCCTGTAGGTGAAAACGTGTAAACCAGCACTGGGCTACAGTTTTGCAGCCGGCACCATTGATGGAGCTTCAGGCCTCAATATTACACAGGGTGAGGTGAAAGCAGATGGTTCTCAAGCTTTGGGGCTCTGTTCCCTAATTAGGCGGAACTGTAGCCAGCACATTTACCAGTTTTATTTCTAAACTCAGAAGTCTAGGTTTTCCAGGCTTGTACATGCCAACCCATAATCCTCAGGGATCTAGTGTAACTTTGCTGTATTTTGGGAGAGAGAGCAGTACTACACTTTGAACTCAGGGCTTTGTGCTTGCAAGGTAGGTGTTCTACCGTTTGAACCACACCTCCAGTCCTAGCTTTCTGTTAATTCAAATATAATTAGAGACAAATTCTCTCTGCATTTCAATGTGATGAATTTAATTATTGGATTTAATGAGTTTATTTTATAATGATTTATTCTTTTTTCACCTTTAAAAAAAGTTTTTATTAGTAGATGATAGTTCTGCAGGAGTTTTTGTTATTTCCATACATGTGTACAATGTACCCCACTGTCTTCTGATACATTCGTTATTGCCATCTTAGTGAGCACAGAGTGACATTGCATTGTGGTTTTGATTTGCATGTTCCTGGTGATTATGTCAGACATAAGCTTCTTTTTTTTTGATGGTATTGGGGTTTGAACTCAGGGCTTTGCACTTACAGGGCAGGTGATCTACCACTTGAGCCATACCTCTAGCCCCTTTGTTTTGGCTATTTTGGGGATAGAATCTAGGTTTTTGCCTGGGCTTCGATCCTCTTATTTTCCTCTTCTCACCGTTGCTGGGATAACTATTTCTGTTGAAATAGTCTTGCAAACTTTATTTTTCTGGTTAGCCTGTGATCCTCTCAATCTCAGCCGACTGTGTAGCTTGGGATGAGGTGCACACCAGAGTGCCAGCAAATGTTGAGATGGGATTTTGTGAACTCCCTGCCCGAGGTGGCCTCAAACTGTGATCCTTCCTGAACTCAGTCTCCCTAATAGCTATGATTATAGGCGTGAGCCACCAGCACCCAGCTTCAAGCATCTTTTCATGTGCTTATTGGGCATTTATATATTTTCCTGGGAGAAATGTCTATTGACACAATTTCCTCATTTTTAAGTTTGGGTTTTATCTTTTTATTATTGAGCTATAAGAGTTTGTTATATGCTCTGTATACAAGTCCTTTGTCAGACATGTACATGAAAACATTTTCTCCCATTCTTTGGGTTGTCTCTTTACTTTATTGTGTTTCTTTGAAGTCCAGAATCTTTTAATTTTATGAAGTCCAAATTAATTTTCTTTTGTACTCATGGTTTGGCGATCATACCTAAGAATCTTTTTTACCAAATCAGATGTTGTGAAAACTTATCCATATTTCCTTCTAAAGGCTTTACCGTTTTAGCTCTTAAACTTAGGTCTCTGATGCATTTTAAGTTAATTCTTATAACTGCATAAAGGAAGTGCCTGCCTCCATTCTTTCACATATGGCTTCCAGTTATCCCAGCACCATTCATTGAAAGAGGCTATTCTTACCCATTGGCACAGCTATTAAAAATCAGTTGAGCATATGCACATGGCTTTATTTCCGAAGTCTCAATTCCCTTAGTCTCTCCTCATTCCAAGATCCCTGTCTTGGTCACTGTTTGCTTTGGCATTTATAAGGCCTTTTACTTTGTTGTTTGTTTTCAAGATTGTTTTGACTATTCTCAGTCCTTACAATTCCACATAAATGTTATCATCAGCTTATAAATTTGTATAAAGAAGTCAGGTGGGATTCTGTTTGGGATCCCATTGATTAATTTGAGGAATGTGGTCATCTTCACCATGTTAAGTCTCTAATCCAGAAGCATGAGTATTTTTCCATTCATTTAGATTTTCCTTAATTTCTTTCAACTATGTTTATAGTTTTCAGTGTATTAGTTTTATACTTATTTTGCTACATTTATTTTTAAGTGTTTTATTATTTTTGGTGCCACAGCGGATGAAATTGTTTTCTTAATTTCATTTTTGGATTTTTCATTGCCAGTGTGTAGATATGTAATTGATTTGATATATTGGCCTGTATTTTTCAACTTGGGTGGATTCATTAATTAGTTTTAATATATTTTTTTTAATGAGCGACTTAGAGATTGTATTATCAGCAAATAGAAATAGTTTTATTCTTTCTCTCCAATCCGGATGACTTTTTTTTATTTTTCTTCCCTCAATGTCCTGGCTGGCCTCTCCAGCACAATGTTGAGTTGAAGTGGCAAGAGTAGACATTTTGTACTGTTCCTGACAGCAGGGAAAGTGTTCATACATTCATCATTAAGCATGATGTTAAAATGTGAGTTTTTAATAGATGCTCTTTATCAGGTTGAGGACGTCTCCTTGTATTCCTAAGTTTGTTGAGAGTTATCATAAAGTGGTATAGGTTTTGTTCAAATGTTTTTTCTGTTTATTGAGATGCTCATATGATTTTTAAAAATTCTATTAGTTTATTACATAAATTAATTATTTTTGTTTTATTTTTTCCAGTTACTCACTGCCTTACTTTTTATTAGTGCATATTAATTAAATAAAGGGGTTTCATTGCGATGTTCCCCACATGCGTACAGTATATCTTGATCATTCACTGCTTCTATTACTCTTTCTTATCTGTCTCCCCCCTTTCAAAATGAATATTTTTGGTGGTATTGGGTTTTGAACTCAGGGGTCCAGGCTTGCTCAGCAGATGCTCTGTCACTTGAGCCATGCCCCTAGCCCTTTTTGCTTTGGTTACTTTTGAGATAAGGTTTTGCTTTTATGCCCAGGCCAGCTTGGACCACCATTCTCCTATTTACTCCTTCCGCATAAATGGGATGACAGGTGTATGCCACTGTGCCCAGCTTTTTATTGGTTAAGATGGGGTCTTGTGAACTTTTTCGACCTAGCATGGCCTTGAACCATGATCCTTCTAATCTCACCCCCTGAGTAATTAGGATTGCAGGCTTGAGCCACTGTGCTCAGCTTTAAAACAATTTTTAGAATAATGAAACCTTTATTCTACATTCATATATGCATATGAGCTATTTAGATCATATTCCACCCCCTTTGCTTTCTGCCTTCCCCCACCACTGATTCCGACCCTCAAATATTTCCCCTTTTTTACACTCATATCATTCATTTTTTTAGATATAGATTCTATTTATGAGAGAGAGATTTGTGATATTTGTCTTTCTCAGTCTGTGTTATTTCACTTAGCATGGTGATCTCCAGTTTTATACATTTTCCTGTAAATGACATAATTTCATTCTTCTTTATGGCTGAATAATATTCCATTGTGCATATATGCCACATTTTTTTTATCCATTCATCAGTTGATGGACACCTAGGCTGATTCCACAGCTTGGCTATTATGAATAGTGCTGCTAGAAACATGGGTGTGCATGCTTTGTGTGCTGACTTACACTCCTTCAGATACGTGGTACAGAGGGTCACATGGCAGTTGTGTTTTTAGTTTTTTGAGGAACGTCCATACTGCTTTCCTTAGTGTTTGCACTAATTTACATTCCCACTACAGTGTATGGTGTGTCCTTTTTCCTGCATCCTCACCAGTATTTCTTGTTTTCTTGTTGATTGCCATTCTGACTAGGGTGAGATGAAATCTCAGTGTAGCTTTGATTTGCTTTTCCTTTATGGTCAAGGATGTTGAATGTTTCCTCATGTGTTTATTAGCCATTTATACTTCTTTTTTTTGGGGGGGTAGTATATTTACTTTTAAAAAACTATTTCTTTTTTAAGCTTAGGATTTATTAATAGTACAAGGGTATTTCATGTGAAAATTCCCTATATGCATACAGTGTATTTGAGCAAGGTCACCCCTCTATTATATTCCCTTAACTCCCTCTCTTTTAAAAACAGTATTTGGTGAGTTTCTTTATGCTATCTCCATACATATGTAAGTGACGTGTTTTGATCCTTTTCACCTCCCTGTGCCCTTTCCATTTCCCCTCCCCCTCCCGTTAAACCCCCCATACAGTGTATATTTTGTATTCAAGTCCCATTATTATTGTTATTTTTTATCATTTTAGACTTAGATTATACATATGAGTAAAAACCTGCTATCTATGGCTTTTGAGCTTAGCATATTTTACTCAATATCATGATCTCCAGTTCCATCCATTTTCCTGCAAATAGCATAATTTCATTCTTCCCCATTTTCTTTATCTATTCATTGGTCTTTCGGCACCTAGGCTGATTCCACCATTTGGCTATTGTGAATAAGGTTGTGATAAACATGGGTGTGAAGTATCCCTCTTTGTACCCCTTATTTTCAGAACTATCAGTTTCTTTTGCCCAGTTATTAATTGGATTATGTGTTCTTTTGTTGTTTAATTTTTGCAACTCTTCAGATATTCTGGAAATTATCCTTTGAAGAATAGCTGGCAAAGATTTTTCTCCCTTTCTCTAGGTTGTCTCTTGATTTTGATAATTGTTTCCTTTGCTGTGTGGAAACTTTTTAATTGGAGGTAATCCCATTTACAATTCTTGCTCTTACTTCCTGAGCAATTGGAGTCCTAGTCAAAAGGCCATTGCTTATATCTGTATCTTCAAAGTTTGTACTGTTTTGCTGTAGTAGACTCATAGTTTCAGGTCTTACACTAAGGTCTTTGATCCATTTTGAATTGATTTTTGTACAGGGTGAGAGATCTAATTTTATTCTTCTACAAGTGGATATCTGATTTTCCCAATACCATTTGTTGAAGAGGCTGTCTTTCCCCCAATGTAAGTTTTTTGTGCGTTTATCAAAAAATCAGATGGCTGTACCTCTGTGGGCTTATATCTTGATATTTTATTCAATTTCATTGGTCTACAAGTAAGTTTTTGTATGAGGACTATGCTATTTTTTTGTTACTATGGCACTGTAGTATAATTTGAAATAAGATATTTCAAAAAAGAGCAACCTCCAGTGTTGCTCTTTTTTCTGGGGATTGCTTTGGATACTCAGGTTCTTTTGTGCTTTCATATGAACGTGAGGATGGATTTTTCTATTTCTGTGAAACGTAACATTGAAAATTTTCATGGGGATTACACTGAATCTGTAGATTGCTCAAT